AGAAAACACTTAGCCGGTATGGGTTTACAAGAAAGCCTATGATCCCTGGACAATAAGGGCCTAGTTAAGTGTCTGTTTCAAAATAGAGAGGTGTATTGTAGTTGTTAATCCAATGGTACTAACTGTTGTGACGAGGCACGCTCTATGCACTAATCTATGATGGAATAGGAAAAGATAAAATATTTTAAGTTCAAGTTGAAAAGTGAGATCAAGGGGAAGAATGTTAGGTTGATCTCCTCCCGACTCGGCCCAACGACCGAGTCGGGGCCTTGATCTACGCCCTGATCGGGGGCGTCCAGCCGAGCCATGGTTGGTGGGCCTCCGTCGTACAACGCCATATAAAAGGAGGTGGGGGCCGGGGCACTCAGTACAAGGTCCACTACGCCGCCAGCAGCCTCACCCACAACCCTAACCGATCCAGGGAGGCACTGCCAGCGACGAGAAGCCCCACCGCCTCACCGCCGCCGGGACGCCACTGCCCTACACTGCGCTGAACCGTCTTCACCGACCTCACCACCGACATAGTCGCCATGGCGAGCTCCTCCGCCAAGCCCACCGATGGTCGGCCACTTCAATCCTCTCTCTCTAGTTCGTGATCTAGGTTATCTCCTAGTGATCGTAAGAATCTAACACACAGCACACTCATTTAGATACATGGGCAAGATGACCAAGCTCTTAAGTGAGATTGAACATGTGATGTTTGGTTTGTTAGGCAGGAAGATAAGATTGCTTTTATTCTCAAACCAAAAGACCAGCATATTTGCCACCAGTTACAATTCACTGGATATCGTACAACGCGATGTGGGTGACAAGATCTTAGATGATGTGCACTAAGGTTTAGCGACCTCGATCCTGACCATTTAACAAACGTTGGGCGGCCAGGGTGATCCGAAACCGTGTAACTTAACTGAAAAGGTTGCATATTGGAGTTCCACTAAAGTTAGTAATCGATAGGGTGTTGGATTTTTGTTGCCTCGGGCTAATTAAGACTACGAAATGGCCGGCTGATATCACTTTCAACTTTTCCTGGACTGTTGCAGCTGGTCCTTTTTTCTGGAAAAAAAATTAGGTGACCCGCAATATCAGCTGCCTTTTCGTATCCATTGCCGCCCGGCTAGTAGATCACTGATAGAGATGCTAGCTTGCAAACAGATGCTGCATCCACTGACCACTCTTGGGAAGTCAGTGATTTGGGGGTGGGATGTTGGGGTCACCTCACTTGGGCCTGCTTCTAGAATCTGAGCCCCAGCAACAACAGAGAGCGCTTTTTCCCAAATTAATACCATAAAAATACTCGCTGAGCCATTGGAAAATGATGCTTGAAAAGGATGGTTGATGTCATGTGGCCTACCAACTACCACCGCCCGCCCCAAGTTTCCCCTTGCCTTGAAAACCTTAGCGCTTATTCTCCACTCCTGCCCTCTCCCTGTCCATCCATTGCTACAGCCATCCCGACCAAGTTGGCCTGGTGCTGGTGGTATTCGCGCACCGGCCAGGAAGATTCGGAATTCTTTTTCTTCTTTTTTTTGCAAGTGCGTTGAATACTATGATCATTTTGAGTGGTCGACAAGGCAGATCGATGCAAATTCAGAAGGAACGACCATAAACGCGTCAGCGATCATCGGATCATCTGATCTGGAATGATTCAAGTGCCATGCTGCATGCTCATAGGCGTAGGACATTGTGGTTTAAATTCGCGCCTATCCGGGAGGAACATAGTGAATCATCATCCGCTAAGAATATGGATGGATGAATGGATGGATCATGGAGGGAGGTCCACACTTGGTTGAGCCACTGTGACTGTGGGTCAGCACAAAGGGGGAAAAGAGGGAATAATGCTTCATACATGGGTGCAATTGTTTTGTCATTCGTGTCCTTTTTGGTGATTGTTGAGGGGGCTAAGAATATATTTGCGCCACGGCCACCATGCACTGATTAGGTGGTCAAATGGGAAGGAACTTCTGCAGTCACAGAGATTCCTTGCCACTTTTTCTCTTCTTTTCTTTTCTCTTTTCTCATTTGCATTTTGATCCTCCGTGGTCACTGCTCGTTTAGAAAGTTTTGCAGCATAGGGTCCTGCCGGCCAACCTGTAAAATGTTTCATCTTGTCAGTAGATCACAGGTCATTGTACACTTACAGTGAGTCAGCAATCTTATGCATGAATGAGGAGGCATTGGGTGGAAGGTTCATGTCACTAGCATGATTATTTCCTGCCAGGAAACTTTCTTTTCCAAGAATTGGATAACTTTTTTTTTTCGAATACGCAAAAGATTTACGTATCATTATATTAAGGAGAAGAGTTTAAAAGAACATACAACGCGCTTCTATCGAGCGTCGAAGGAGGTCGACCTAACACAGCCGAAGCTGTTTTTTTTGTGTGTGATGAAGTCAATGTTTAGCTTTGGCATTGCTCAAATGAACAGGCTTTTCTTGTAGCAACAACAACTACTCGACTGGGTATCCCAATTTTAAATTGCTCCCATTTAGACATATATATTACTATATTAGGGAGATCCAGTATCATGTACGTATGTGCATGTGCCTTCAATCAAGTGATATTAACCTGTGTATACAGAAAAACCATTGAGATCTCAGGAGGGAATAGTTTTCGCAAGGACAAACCACGGGAGAGTCCTTCAATACACAGGTGTCACGTGCATTCCTACACGGCGCAGATGTGATGAGATCTGTCATCTGTGTACCTATGATACTGACTGCTGCATAATTTATTCTGCTCTGGGTGAAGACTAGTAACTTCGGCAGTTGCTTCAGTTTAGTCCTTATCACAACTTCATACCGAGGCTACACCTGGAGGGAAATGAGGTATGTACCTCACAGTCACACATGTTGATTGGCAGACTATCTCATTCATCCGATCTCTCCAGTGATTTGATTTGTTACTAATATTAATAACCCAATTGGTATGCATCAACTTGAATACTACGTTTTCACATAAAAAACAGAGCAGTGCATAGTTTACTACCAGACTAGTAGTTTCCTAGCGAAGAATTCTCCTACCTGCTCGTATGTTGTCACCAAGGGATCCAGATATTGCGAATCTTGGAAAATATGCGTAGAGTGACATTTGGCAGCTGAGGAAGAATTAACACCATTTTTTTTAACTGATGTGCCTTGCTTATATTACAAGATAAGTAGAGAATCATGCTGCGTCATATAAGGAAAAACAAGTGGCATAGAATTTTACCTTTGCTGCGGCACTTGTAACAATCCACTAATAACAGGTCTCGCCTTTGGTTCTACCCGAGACATGAGAGGCCACAGAATTGAGAATATAATCTTTGGCTTCAGTTATTAGCATGATTGAGTAGAACAGTGACATCCAATTTCTTTTAATTACTTTGTTCAAGAAAGTATTACACCACAAAGAAAAGGAGATGAAATGCTTAATACATGCCTTCTCCAAAGAGGAGCTGGCCAGGCCTGCAGCATCCATTGGCAATGATAACTGTAGTGGCTACAGGAGTCATGCATGCACAGCTCATTTCTGGAAGATCCTCCTGAGGAAAGAGGTTTCGTTAGAACAGCACCCAGAGAATAGAGAGTTTACCCCAGAAGACCACCGCTAGCTGCTGCTGTGCTTAAACTGAGGAAGATCGCCATTGCTGGCCCCCACTCTGCTGCTCCAAAAGCCTGAAAGCTTGCTTGGATCTTGTCCTGCTACTACCTGCCAATAGACTAGTACTAGAGCTAGAGCAGCAGCGATCCTGACCCATGATTAAACAAGCAATGAGACCACCAACCACCACCATCCACCGTCCCCATTCTCAATTGCTCCCATGCTCTGGTCCGACCAGTTAGGTCATTAATAAAGAAACTAAACAGACAAAAGCCCCCCACCCCCACCCCCACCCCCGACCAAAATCCACGGGCCGCTCCTCCGGGGTGTTCGGCTACCGTTTTATAACGATTTATAAGTTATAATACAGTATTTTTCTACAAATATAAGCGGTTTTCAAACAGTCGAGCTGAGCCTATCCCTTGCATTCACATCCCATCCGCCCGTTGTACCTACCTACCTACCTAACCATCCAAAGGGAGGAAGGGCATCTCATCTCACTCCTCACATGCTCCCAACTGGTCTGGCCAGTGGCCATGGCCAGCGCGCGCGCGCGCTCTCTCTCTACAAGACAAGCTTTTTTGAAGCCAAAAACCGGCACCGAGCTTTTCTGTTTCTGAGCACCGTCCGTCCAAGTGGTCATGTGGCTGCAGACGTTCAGGAACCTGGCTTTGTCCATAACCACCACCAGCGCACAAAGCACCATTCACTACTTCCAGCATCTGCATCTTCTCAGGAAGGCGGCCATGCATGACTACTGATGCGTTTTGCACTACTCTTTCTCGTCCCAGATGGCTGGACTCAGGCACATCTACTCTAGGTGATGAAAGATCATGAAACTACACCTGGAGTATTTGAGCTTATTTTAAATGAAAGATGGGAACCTACTGCATGTCCAGTTAAAAGGGGTTGGTACTTTGGTAGGTAGAGTAGCATAACTGCAAGTCCATGAGCTGAGATGCATGCCACCAACTACTCTACGCATGTCGCCAAGATGCAGCCTGTTCGTTTGCTCGTAAACGATCGTAAATTTTCAGTCGGGAATAGTGTTTTTCTCTCACACCAAACCAGCCCATAGTAAATTTCATGTCGCCAAGATGCAGCCTGTTCGTTTGCTCGTAAACGATCGTAAATTTTCAGTCGGAACAGTGTTTTTCTCTCACACCAAATCAGCCCATAGTAAATAATCCACGATACGATACGGCCTCTCGAACAGGCTGTTGATTTGTTGAGGAGGCAAGGCGTGGCAAGATCACTTTGTCCGAGGCCGGCCAGAACCAGAAACGACAAGACAAGAGCACATAAGTCATAATAAACCATGATGCATGTTACAAAAGAGCTGCTAAAGCCTAAACATGTGTCCTGCCTCAGTAATAACCCTCCCACTTATGTCACTGTCTCACTGATCACTCTGTCTTCACACTATTGGCCTCTGTAGCAGGGAGCCGCCTGTAAAAAACTCCGAGCCCATTGCTGGGAGGAGCCGCCGCCGCTGCCGCAGACGCACTCGACGCCCGGCCGGTACCCGAGGCTGTTGAGGCACAGGCACACCGCCGCCGCATTGGTGCCGCCCGCCGCCGCCCCCGCCGCTTCGTCCTGCTTCATCAGTGGCTTGATGATGCTGGTTTCCTCCGGCGGCTGGTACGCCGCGAGGCTGATGGACAGGTTGAGGTCGATGTCGAGGTGGCGCCTTGGCGGCGGCGTCGGCGTCGGCGTCGGCGTCGGCGTGGCGGACGGCGGCTCGTCGTCGCTGCTACGGCTGCAGGCGGCCTCCGGCGAGTTGGAGATGACGCCCTGCTGCGGAGCCTGGTGGTGGTGCGGATGGCCCGGGCCAACGCCGCCGCCGCCGCCGCCGGCCGCCCGCTTCTGTGCCTCCAGCTGGTAATGCTGCTGCCCCGCGGGCGCGCTGGCGACGGCGGCGAGCGGGCGGTGGGTCTGCGGGTCCATGCCGCGGGCCAGGAGCTTCCGCTTGATGTGCGTGTTCCAGTAGTTCTTGATCTCGTTGTCCGTCCTGCCCGGCAGCCTCCCGGCGATGAGCGACCACCTGCATCCGCATACACGATCGATCAGGCACAGTTGTTTGAAATGCTCAGTTTTTTTTTAAATCTTTGTTTATTGATTGGCATGGAAATACGCGTCGTGCAGGCAGCCACGCAGCAGCTTACTTGTTGCCGAAGAGCTCGTGGAACTTGATGATGAGCTCGTCCTCCTCCTCCGTGAAGTTGCCGCGCTTGAGGTCCGGGCGCAGGTAGTTGATCCACCGCAGCCGGCAGCTCTTCCCGCACCGCAGCAGCCCTGCACAGCACAGCACAGCCGTCCGTCCGCCGCCGTAAGTGCTCCGAGTTTCCCTTCCCTCACATACATCTAAGCAAACAAATCATCATATCTTGATCCGCGTCCTACGCACCTGCGGCTTTTGGGAGCGATCTCCAGCAGCCCTCGCCGTGGGCCTTGATGTAGGCGATGAGGCGCTGGTCCTCCTCCTTGGTCCACGCGCCCTTGTTGGTGTGCGCCTGCTCGCAGCACGGGGACCTCCCCATGCCGCCCGCCCCGGCAGAGATCGACGCGCGACAGCCACGCACAGATTCGCTCCGCCGCCGCCGCCGCCGAGTGGGAGTCGGAGGAACAAGGGCGCCCGCGCGCGCGATGTGCTGGTGCTGCCGCTGCCGCTGGTGGACTGGACTGGACTGGACTGGTGGCGGCGATGGCGTTGTGTGTGTGCGTGCTGCAGCGAGCGAGCGGCCGGCGCGAGCCTTTCGCGAACGAACAACAGAAGGCAGGGCAGGGGAGGAGCCGGGGGTGGTGGTTGGTTTTATACGAGGGGGTGGTGGTGGTTGGTCTCCATGCATTTGACCGAGTAGGTGTGGTGTGAAGTGTGATGGGGATGGGGGTGGGAGGTGGGCCCCGGGCGAGTGGTTGGTTGGCTGGCTGCAAAGCCGCAGGGAGAGGGAGGGGATTTGTTGGTAGGTAGGTGCGCTTCACTTGAGTGCCCTTTGTCCTATTCCCTTTCTAGTTTCCCTTTATTTTTTATTTTTTATTTTTGCCCATTTGATGATCGCTTTCTTTTCTCTCCTCCTCCCATGCTGCTTTTGTTTTTTTTTTTCAGTTTGGCCTTGTTTAGATTCTAAGTTTTTTCTCTCTCTTTATCACATCAAATCTTTGGACACATGTATGAAGTATTAAATGTAGATAAAAAAAATAATTAATTACACAATTTGATTATAAATTACGAGACGAATCTTTTGAGTCTAATTAGGCTATGATTGGACAGTAATTGTCAAATACAAACAAAAATACTACCGTGTCAAATACTAATTTCTAACCGCTTTCTAAACAAGACCTTTGTTTTGGGGAGGGGAGCTTGCTAGCTGTACTCCGCGACTGTACCCACTACCCAGCTGCTAGTAGACGCAGACTGCCTTCTCTCCTGGTTGTGTCCGATTCAGGGGTGTGTGAACCGGTGACTGAAATTTCAGGAGATCTCATGTGAGGGCTGTGGCAGGAAGTGTTACAGATACTAATAAAAAAACAAATTATAAAATTCATCAGTACTCCATGAGATTTATTTATTAAACCTAATTAATTCATCATCAGTACATGTTTTCTGTAGCAATACATTGTCAAATCATAGACTAATTAGGCTTAAAAGATTCGTCTCGCAAATTAGTCGTAAGCTATGCAATTAGTTTCGTAATTAGTTTATATTTAATACCACATACATGTGTTTAAACATTTGATTGGACAACGACTAAAGTTTAGAAGGAGAAACCAAACACCTTGTTTAGGTCATAAGGGTGCGTTTGGCTTCCCGCAGCTGGCCAAACCAGGCTCGCCCGATGCAAGCCACGCTAGTTTGGTTGCCTGTTTCATCGAGACCAGCCAGGCTACGGACATGCAAAACATCCCTCGTGGTCAGGCTTCGAAGAAACGTGACAATCGACCGTTTCTGCCGGGGCTAGCTCGCCTGGTGGGAGCGAGCGATGGAGCAGCATATGGCGCGTGAGACGGAGAGACGTGGATGCGGTCATACAGCCTGTTCGCTCAGTCGTATTTGGTTTATAAGCCATGGCTTATTAGCCAATAAACAATATTTTTTTCTCACACCAAACCAGCTAATAATACTTTTAGTTATAATTTATAAGCCAAACCAGTATAAACAAATAGGCTGATATACAGCTAACCAAATGGCAGCTCCGTGTAGCCAGGCTGAAATTACTCAGTGAACCAAATAACAGCTCACCTGGTGGGAGCGAGCGATGGAGCAGTGCATGTCGCGTGAGATAGAGAGGCGTGGATGCGGTCATATACCGCTAACAAAACGGCAGCTCCATGTAGCCTGGCTGAAATTACTCGGTGAACCAAACAACAGCTCTGTGCATGATTTGTTGGGGGGGCGCTTGAGCTGTACTCTGTGATAGTAGACGCGGACCACCCTCTCTCCTCGTTGTGTTCGATTTATTGGGGTCATACAGTGTGCGTATGGTTTCCTGCAGCCGCCCAAACCAGGCTCGCCAGATGCGAGCAGCGCCAGTTTGGTTGCCTGGTTCATCTAGCTAGCCAGGCTACATACGAGCAAAACGTCTCACTAGCGAAACAGTAGCTTTGCCGTGTGCCTTATATTTTAGGACCGTTGAAATATGTATATGTTGGTCATGACCAAAATTTTTGATGCATCAGAGCCGTTGCTTCACGGAAGGAGCAAAACCTTTAGTTGGAAATAACACAAATCTTTCAATGGCTATGGGCTCCCCATCCATTTACAGGCCATTGTTTTTTTTGGAGAACACGTCAGCGGCACATGGCGATGATGCTTAATAGACGTGGAAAGTGTTCATTCCCTCCCTTCTCTGACTCAAGGTACTTGGCTTGCTGTTGCTGTTTATTGATATTTTTATACTACCTACTAGTATACATTTTCCCTCTGACTCAGGCACCGACGTTTTTTATCACCCCAGGACGCAAGCTCTCTCCAGCTTTTATTTCCAGGAAACCCAGCAGCAGCCGCAAGCAAGCAAAGCAAGGAAGCATCCATGTCTTTGTGTACGCTATTATATGGGTGCACGGAAGAAAGCAAAAGCAGCAGCAAGAAAGGAGGGGGAGAATCTGATGACCAATTTGGTGAGCTACCACCCTTCGCTTCACTTCGCCCTTGTTTAGTTTTCGTCTTAAACTTTACGTCTCGTCGCATCGAATATTTAGACATATACATGGAGTATTAAATATAGACTAAAAAATAACTAATTGTACAGTTTGAGACTAATTTGCGAGACGAATCTTTTAAGCCTATTTAGTTCATAATTTGACAGTAAAGTGCTACAGTAACACACGTTCTAATGATGGATTAATTAGGCTTAATAAATTCAACTCGTGGTTTACTGACGGATTCTATAATTTTTTTTATTAGTATCCGAACACTCCATACGATACCTCAATGTAATATCCGATGTTAGGCCCTGTTCGGGCTTTTTTTTTTAGTCGAACAATATTTTTCTCTCATAATAATTCAAATTTAACAAAGATTTTTCACCAGGTTTCCAAATGGGGCCCAGCGAATGGGGCCATCTAACGGGGCCATAACGTTCAAAACTTTACACGCTGACCAAGGAACTTCCACTCCGGCCTCCCTCTTGTTGTGGAGCAAGAAGATGCGCGCCCTATGAAGAGCTTGTTTAATGCACTGCGTGCTGCTACTTGCTTTATTCTCGGTGGTGTGGGCTGGGCTGCATACCGCATACGTACCTGTTGCAGGTGCGTAGTAGAGGGTAGGAGAGTACTCGGTACAACGTGGCACCCGTAATGGTAAAAGCTAATTACTAATTTTAAGCTAATATCTCTAATAATGTTAACTTTTAGCAATGACTCTGAGTATGATTCCGTCCACATACCACTCTCACATAATCTTGGATGTGTGTAAGAGCCCAACTTTTAATCAAGAGTTAGTTTTTCTCTCTCTATTAAAATATGAAAAAAATGTTTAAAGCTAGCTCAAAATTGATCGTTGAGCTGCCCTAAGCTTTGCGCTGGAAAGTCGCTCTCCTGGGCGTTTTACAATTAAAAAGAAATTCAAAAAATATTATCCTGTAGTTTTGTCTGGACAGAGAGAGGGAGGAGAGAGAGGATAGTAGAAGCACTATCGAGGCGGGCTCTTTCTTAAAGTGCTCTGTTGCACTCGGCAAAGGCAGCTTTTACACTTGCAAAAAGCTTTTGCCGAGTGCGACACTCGCAAAAGAGCCTCCGTCAATCCTCTTCCTAAAGGCTGCTTTGCCGAAAGTGCCAAATTTTGGGCACTCGGCAAAGATTTGACGCTGCCGGGCCGACGGCCGACGCCGCCGCCTAATTTTTTTTTAAAAACTCTTTGCCGAAAGTGCCACAGCTCCAAGACTCGGCAAAGAAATCTATTTTTAAACCTCTTTGCCGAAAGTGCCACAAAGACCGGCACTCGACAAAGGGTGTTTTTATTTATTTTTTAAATTTTTTTTTACCGAGTGCAATGGTCATTGCACTCGCAAAGCTCACCTCTAAATTTCTTTTTTTTTTTTTTGCTTTTCCATTTAAACAACAATGCATATATATATAATAGAAACCACAATTCAACAAAGATAAATTACAAACCATATTTATATATTACAAATGACCAAATTTGTCCGAAATCCACAATTTATTACAAACCACAAGTTCATAGTCCACAAGTTCACAAGTTCGATACATAGAAACTACTCAAGCGGCAGGCTCACGGCGATCATACCTTCAACAGGCGATCCCGGCGACGGTCCGGGTGCGGATGGTCTGACTTATGATGATAAGGCGACTGCTCGACCTGGTTCGACGTTGCCCCGATCTCCGCTGCACAAAAAAGAAGATATTGCACGTGAGTGACAAGATAAAAATGTAAAGAGTTTAAAGAAAAGTTGAAAATTTCGGCAAGACTCTCTCTTCGCACGGGACGCTTTCAAAACCCGCAAGAAAAAAACGCTTACAGCTGAAAGGCCGACACATCAACTAACCCGACACGAAGGCCCACACATCAACAAATCCGCACGAAGGCTATCTCTAGGTTTGACACTAAGCATGAGCACGAGTAAAGTAAAACATACTCACCGGAGTAGACTGGTGGTGGTGGTCGTGGTGCAAGCAGTGTAGTGGGATCTAACAACCTTATTGCTCCCCAAGTTGTTGCACGAACCTCGAGCAAACCTTCTTGCTTGGGCCTCAAAGCTTGTAGCCTCGACGCTCGGCCTCCCGCTGCCCGCCTCGGCCACCCCGCTTCGCCTTCTGGGCCTCCTGCTCATTGGGCCCGAGTTGTCAGAGCTTCGGCCGCAATATTTGACCCCAATGTTTCAATATTACAGAGCTAAGGAACGTAAAAGTCAAAGAACGATTTAATGAAACTGAAATACTTACCTAGAGTGCCACCACCGTTGTCGGCCGTTGGCTTATGGGCATGCTAGAGCTCGTGCTCGCTGCTTCGAGAGCGGTTTCGGAGGAGGAGTAGAGCTCGTGTTGAGGACGCCACGCCAAGCCGTAACCACCCATGCTTCTT